TTGAAGTGTATTTAGAAACAATCGAAACATATTTTTCATTTAATAAAATAATTTAGAAACATAATTTGTGTAAATTTCATTCAAATTGTGTTTTTCTTTCTTTCTTTTGTTATGGTTATACGAAACCGTAATATATGGGCCTGGCCCATTTACAGAGTGAGCCCGATTGCATAAACCCACACCGTAGAAGTGGAGTTTGGTTAAACCCTTGCAGCTGTTGGCCTGTGAAGGTTGTCGCCGGAAATGAATTCTGTGGCGGTGAGACTTGCGAAGCATCTCCGACTCTCTGCTCTCTCTTCATCTTCACTCGGTCTGTTTCTATCTTTTCGTTTTCTTCATAACCTCTGCTCGTAATAACAAATGCATTTATGTCCTCACTGCGATTGCTTCAATCATCTGAACTAACGCCTCTCCACTAAATATGTATGCGTTCGTCATTCTTCCTTTTTTCCTTCAAAGGAGAATTTCGTCGAACACTTGCTAGCAATGACTATATTTCATTTTCGGTGACATACGTATGTACTATTATGCATAGCATAGCAAGACGTGTGATTCTGTTGGTGAATAAATTAGGTCGTGTGTCGAGAAGCGGAACGTTATGGTACTCGACGTCTCAATCTGGAGGTGAAGATGATCGGGCTTCAAATGATAATGATGGACCTAAGAACGAAGAATTGGATGAAGAGTTTGATGGTTTTCTTGGTGGAAGGCCCGAGCTACAGCTGCAAGGTGTGGATCCCAAGAGGGGTTGGGCATTCCGTGGTGTACACAAGGTATTCGATTATTATTATTACTACTACTACTGCTACTATTAGCATCTCTATGTTGGAATTTTGATTTGGTAAGTGGTAACTACAGAAAACCTAATTTGTGAACTCAATTTATGTTCAGAGCATAGATTTTGTTTTTTTTGTGCCATGATTCAGTGTATAAGGTTTTGCATTTTCGCTCTGCTATGACTGAGTAAAAGTTTTGCAATACTAGGTTTTAGAGGAGATTTAGTTTTTATTTATTTATTCATACAGCCGGAAATTTTATAAGTTTGAATAAAAAGAATTGGTTCTGGACAATGGTCATGCTAGAGCCAATAAAAAGACATTCTCACTACACAGATTGAGGCTTTAAAACGGAAGTAAGCTTAAAGAACAAGATTTTATGTATGCTAGTCCTCCTTAGCTTAAAATGACGATTGATGAAATATTTGCTTGTTGCGCCTGACAAATAATTTGACCAACATGGTAGTCATTATAATCAGGCAATTATTTGTGGAAAAGTTGGCCAAGCTCCTGTACAGAAGATATTGAGGAATGGTAAAAATGTAACCATCTTTACAGTTGCGACGGGGGGCATGTCTGACCAGAGAATTGTAGGAGCAAAGGATTTGCCGAAACCTCCTCAATGGCATCGCATTGCTGTGCATAATGATATACTGGGGGCCTACGCAGTACAGCAAATCTTTAAAAAGTAAGTGTTTATACAAGAAATATATTCTATAATTGGGGTAATTGTTCCAGACTTATGCTTGACCTTTTATGCAGCTCTTCAGTTTATGTTGAGGGTGACATTGAAACTAGAGTTTATAATGATAGCATCAACGGTGAAGTTAAAAGCATTCCAGAGATATGTGTTCGCCGTGATGGTATGACACTATATGCATTTTTTTCTCATAACATTTTCTGAAAGACAATACATTAAGCTCTCCCTAGGTTCCTGTTATTTTACTTTAATGTCTCTTACTAAGTTAGAAACATTGGCCACATTTATCACTGCACGTGCTCATGTGTGTCCCTTGCGAGCGCTGGGTTGGGGGAGGGGGGGGGGGGATGATGTGTTGATCTAATTATTTTGGAACATTTTATTCTTTCACTTAAACCTTGAGCTTATTTTTATGGGTTTGCTGTGCTGCTTCAGTTATATAAACAAACTGTTTAATAACAATTAGTTTCATTTATTCCAACTACTCCCCACCAGTATATGCAGTTAATATGATTGATCATTTATTTAATTTATGGACAAAATGCTTTGTTGCATTTTTCTTGCAATACAACTTCAGTTTGGAGAGGTCAAATAAGTTTTCTTTGCATGGAAAGGCAGACTTAATCTTGTTTAAAAGAAGACCAGCGAGCAGTGCATTTCTCAATTTTACTTACAGGGCTAACTTGACATTTTACAACTTACATTAGTATGGACTACATTGGGGTTAAAGGAATCCGAACTCACTGAAATTGATAAAGTTTCAATTTAGATAATTAGTTTTCTAATTTTTATTCTTAACTTTTCAAAAGTTGAACTTATAGCTTGCTTATTTCACTTCATATGTTATCTCTCCATTTATACTTCTCCTCATCAATAGTGTATATATCATTTGTCAAACTTCCTTTTATGAATTTCTTAAGTTCCTTTAACTATGGTTGCAAATAATGACATATTTTAGCAGTGGTTTGTTTCCACTTTCCACACACTTTTCGACGGTTTTTTAAGAAGTTAATTGTGGGGCATAGCCTTACTTAAGGTCGAAGTTTGTTCATGAACTAGTATTATGCCTGACAATAATAAATATGTGCTGGCAGGAGAAGGGTTGTTTTAGAAGGAATCTGACCATCTAAAGGAAGCATCTTCTTCTGTAAGAATCTTGCATCTTCTTCTGTAAGAATCTTAGACTTGATGCGAAACAGCATTTATAATGAACACTATGATGAATACTTTGGTTGTTTGATTTTATTTTTCATATATATTCTTCAGTATTCTGAATTGCAGCTTCCCATGGTTATTTTCTTTTGTGGGAGAGGTGTAGAAGAATATATTATTTGTGCCGCGTAATTTGGATATGAATATTACTAGTCAACTAAAACTTTGATGTAGGGGTATGCACGAGTTTAGACAAGCCAGACATGCACATTTAAAGGTTTAAGTCTGGCTTGTAAAAAAAGTTGCACAAATTTGACTTATTTATTAAAATGAGTACAGTTGAAAGTTTGAGCTTAACTTATTTGTAATTTAATTATTTTGTTTAATTAAAAAATTAAATTATTTTTTAAGTTTATTACTTTAGTTTTAATAAATATCTTAATTCGTGCTCAATGTGATATATGAAATTAAAAAATTCTACCATAAGTTACTTCAATAGTAACTTTAAAGTTACTCATCCTCGCGTTTTATTCCTTTTCAACCCTATGGTCAAGGATTATTAGTCGGTCGTTAGAACTCTTAAATAAAAGAAAATGAAGAATAAAGATGTAGTAAAACCTAGAGTTGACCCATTTTAATGAAGATTTAACGAGTAGAAATTAAATAGTTGACGATAATTAAGTTGGCTCAAGAGTAAAAGGGAGTTATCTGAGGGATGGCTGCCCCTTGGGCGACCGATTTAAACTTACATTAGGGGTCCCACTCCACACCCGAAGCTCTCTAAAGCCAACACGTGCACGATGCCATGTCTATGTTCTCTACAAGCACTTGGAGGAAAGCTACTTACTCTCCAGTGAAGGAAGGGATGTAACTACCCAGCAGACAAATTAATGTTTCTGTTGAGTTCTTTATCAAGCTACTTACTCTTTGGAGACTGAATTTTTTTTTAAAAAAAAAACACTTAATAAGAGATGAAAATTAAGAAAAAAAAAGTTTTTCGATAAATTTATGTATAAGCTAATTCATAAAAGTTAATTTATATTAAATACCCCATTAAATATGTAAGGAGGAGAAGACAAGGAAAGTGAAGGGTGAAAAAGAAATTTTAATTAAATATTTTATTTGGTTAATCGTAGAGAATGTGAGAAATTTTAAGAATTAATTTACTTAATTTGATTTCAAGTCTTTATAGGGGTATTATAGTCAATGCACTTTAAATGCTCTTTAAGTATTCTTCCCTCTTCTCTAAATTTCTCAAATATTGAAGGACAGGAAAAAAAATAGATAAAGAGATTTTTATTCTCTCCATTACCATATTCTCTTTCCAAAATTTGAACGAAAAAAACAAAATTTTATCAAAATCGTTATTCACCTCTCTAGTTTCCCTACCAAAACTACTTTAAGATACGAAGAACTTTGATATTTCACTACATGTACAGTTGAAAGCCAAAATAATGCATGACTAAAATTTGAGAATTTTAAACTTTTTCTTACTTCCTAGTTGCTATTCAGCTAGCTGTTCATAGCTGTCATAATCAAATGGATCCGTGGTTGAAATTATCAAACAATTGATAAGATTTCCTTGGCAAGTGAGGATCATTCGTGCGTACAGAGAAGCTAACACTTGCAGATTGCTTGGCTAATTCTTCCCGATGGAATCCATGTCCTTCTTAATCTTCCTCCCGTTCCTTTGTTTTTTGCGTAATGTCATGGGGATAACTTTGTATCGTTCTATTCTGTTCGTAGTTAGATTGGCCCATGATTTTTATATCCCCTTTTTGAACTTCCCACCCCTAATTTTTTAAAGAAAATTTTTACAAAAATACCTTGATAGAAATTAATTTTTTTTTTTGTGTATCTTAACATAACAAAAATTAGTTTTCGTTGTATCAGTAACAAGTAAAAAAAAATGTCAAGGAAGTAATGGGGTGCAAAAACTCAGCTGAGTAAAAAGAGAAAGGGCAAAGGTGAGATTAAAAGGGTGGGGTGGGGGTGTATGGAGAGTGGGGGGACGGAGGTGTAAAGAGAAGGTTATAATAAAAAAATAAAAAATAAAATAAAATAAAAAAGTGGAGGGTGAGAAGATGAAAAAAGGATATGAACTTAATTTTAATTTACGCAAATTAGACTAGTTTTATTGTAATTGAATTTAATTTGATCCAACTTTATTTCTCACTTATGCTTATGAAACTAGCCGTTATGAAACTAACCGTTATGTTACTAGCCGTTGTAAACTAGCCGTTTTTTATGACACTATATAATTGACACACATTTCTTGCATCTGATTCTCAAAACCTACTTGAGTTATTTGTCTCAAAATCTATTTGTTGCTTCGTATTTTCTCTAAAGTTGACACTTTAATTTCCCACAAAATGGATCTCGACAGAGACTTTGATGCTTTGTTTGAGCAAGTTATAGATGAGGAACTTGAAGACAACACCGACGAACATTTAATGAGAATAGTACTTGAGTTGCAACAACAATCTGACAATACTACTTGTCGAAGGAAAAAAAGATTGATGATTGATCGATGTCGTGAAGAAGGGAACAATCGATTGTTTAATGATTACTTCTCTGAGAATTCAGTTTACACAGATACTCAATTTCGACGAAGATTTCAAATGCAAAGGCACGTGTTCCTTAGAATTGTAGAAGCCCTTGGTCATTATGATGATTATTTCAAGATGAGGGTTGATGCAACTCGAAAGAATGGTCTTTCACCATTACAAAAATGCACAGCTGCAATTTGTATATTAGCATATGGATCAAGTGCTAATAGTACAGATGATTACGTTTGAATTGGTGAAAGCACTGTTGTGGAATGCTTAGAGAGATTTGTATCTGGTGTGTGCAACATATTCGGAGCTGAATACCTTAGGAGGCCTAACAATGAAGATGTTGAACGACTACTTCAAATGGGAAATGCACGTGGCTTTCCAGGTATGTTACCGTCTATTGATTGTATGCATTGGGAATGGAAAAATTGTCCAGTTGCTTGGAAAGGACAATTTTGTCGAGGTAATCACGGCAAACCCACAATTATGCTTGAAGCTGTAGCTTCACAACACTTGTGGATTTGGCATGCTTTTTTTGGCACCATAGGTTCAAATAATGACATTAATGTGTTGAATGCTTCGAATGTGTTTAATGACGTTTTGTCAGGACAAGTTCCTGTTGTACAATACATAGTGAATAGAATCCAATATAATATGGGTTATTATCTTGCTGATGATATTTATCCAGAGTGGGCTACATTTGTGAAGACCATCCCCTATGCTACAAGGAGAAAAGAAGAAATTATTTGCCGAACGACAAGAATCGGCAAGAAAAGATGTAGAGCGAGCATTTGGAGTATTGCAATCTCGATTTGCAATTGTGTGTGGACCAGGGCGTGCTTGGCATGTTGATACATTGAAGAATATGATGTATGCATGCATCATACTACATAACATGATAGTTGAAGATGAGAGACACACATACAATATTAATTTTGATTATGATAATAGTGGTAACGAAGTCTCAACTACCGGTGTATCTATTGGTCCTCATCCTATTTTTACTATAACATACTTACAAAGAATGGCACATCTTCGTGATAGACAACAACACCGACAACTACAACACGACTTGGTGGAACATATTTGAGAACGTTTTGGATATTATAATAACGAAAATTAGTGTGTATTTAATTTTGTTATAATTTTTGCTAATTCTTTTTATTATGTAATTTCTTTTTATTATTGTAATTTTTTTATTCTGTAATTTCTTTTATTTGTTATTCATATTTATATATTATCCATAATAATTAATTTTATAAAAAATTATCATAAAATGTAGTGTGAGGTGTCAAAAAGTGTAGTATGAGTTGTAAAAAAGTAGGAGTGCTTATAAGCAATTTTCATCGGAGCAAAGATTGTAAAAATATAGTATAAATTGCTTATGAATGACGTGACACAGTGAGACCCATTTATAAACAACTCCAATTATAGATGCTCTAAGATCCTCAAGGATACTGATTTCTTGAAACATAACTACGTTTTATTTTAAGTGTGTTTGAGACATGTTATACTTCGTTCTACTATTTTGGTGTGCACTTAGAATTTCTTCTACCTATAATCAGATATTGATTTCTTTCGGGGGTTAAGATCAATTAAGTGAGTTATTTTTCTCTCTTAACAAAGTCTTTTCTATTTTAAGAAATCGATTGTGTCGTCATTGTCGTGTGCTAATATTATAATGTGGTACAGTAATCAAATTTATAGCTAATCTGTGCTTTGTGAAACTCCACAATAGCAAATATTAAAACGCTAGAAAAAGGTTGGTTTAATATTTACAGGTAATTAAACCCAATCCAAATCCACACCACTTTTTGTCCAAAAAAATATTTGAACTATATTTATTGTTTTTTTTTTCTTTTCTAAAAAATAATTGTTAAAAGGTTTACCAATTTGTTCAAATAATAAATATTACAAACTTATTCATCAAAATATATATATATATATATGTGTGTGTTATACAAGCATTTGCATTTCAATTAATTTCGAAATGCCTTATACAATTGACGATAATACAAATATACAACTTCACTTCATGACACTACTACCTAATCAGTAAAGATCTTTCGGAAATAAAATTTATTGCAATTGAGTCTTAATAACAAATACTATAAAAGAGTTGTTTAAAAAAGCTATTAAATTGTTTTTTATTAAAAATATTACTAAAATAGATGAAAATTTGTAATAAAAACACGGTAATAACACTTCAAATAAAAAAAATTTACTTTTAATTCTTTAACATGTAGTCTACGTATCATTTATTAAAATATGGGACGGTTTGGCAGGAGGCCATGATTGTAGTTTTCTTTTTCAGGCATTTACGCATTAATTTAATGCGCCTTCACTTAATATAGACTGCACAGTGATATTTTAATTTTGGCCATTTACTGCTCACGTTTAAGAAAGAAAGCCCAGAGTCAGAATATTAGCTGAAACATATATTACCCGTTTGTAGTTTGTAGTTTGTAGTTTGTAGTTTGTCTTAAGGCCAATTACAGGCAGTGATCTTAAAATTTTTGTTTTTCTTGATGAAGAAAATAAAGATGTAGAAGCAAGTGCGATGTGTAGTGTTGAAGACAACTCTACAGAGAGGTAACCATAAAATTTTGGGTTAGTAATGAAAGTATTAGAAGTTATCTACTTGACAACATTGCTTGTTCAGTCAGTCAATCCAACAGCTGAGCACACGCCAAAAACAAACTTGCAACAACCTCCAATAACCTAATTTGGCTATCTCTTACACACCTACCACAATCACCACCCAAATGTAGAAGCAAGCATGCTCACACTGTCAGAGAAAAATTATACTGATATTTACTATGTTACTAGATTACTATGCTGTCTCTGAAGACCTTTTTCCTTCCATGGCATCTTTCTTCTTCTGACAGTTTGTGCAGAGGAATGGACCTTCCCATGGCTTAGATGCTGGAGAGAAAAAAGATCCAGTGTTCATTGATAAACCATCTCCAGAGGGTTGATCTGCTTGGCAAACCGCACAGCGGAAAATCCCAGAATTCATATTAGACGGAAAATCCTTACCCAACCTGCATTTTAAGAAGACAGGAAAAACACACGCATGTAAAGGGAAGAGAAACATTTTTTGTTAAGCAATTATTAAACTTCACATGGCAGCATGCAAATATAAATTTAGCAGTTAAAGTGTTACCTCTCTGTAAGCATTGCAGAACCCTCTTCAAATAATTCCTCCACAACACCAACAGCAGAAAGCTTATTGGTACCTTTGTTCGTAGTGTTTTGAGATTTCTTTCCAAAGAGAAGTGAACTTAGCATATTATGTTTCTTTCTGGGAATTGTTGGTAACACAGGATGGTCTGAAGGAATAATATCTACAACAAGGCAAGTTGTATCATCCTTCAGCCCTCTTGACCTTAGAGCTTCCTGTTAAAAAAAGGAAAAAGAAAAACACAAAGCATTGAGTAGAGAAGATAATAGGACATCCATTCCTGAAAAGATAGTAAGATTGCTCCAATTAACCATCACCTTAACCACCAGCTTTGCAGCAAGCTCTGCAGGTAGACCCCGGCATGACTTGGCAGCCGTATCAGAAGATAAAGCATCCCAAATACCATCAGAAGCTATAATAAGTCTTCCACCCGCATTTGAAAGCTGGGGAACCATGAAAAGTTTGAGTGTTGAAATTTAGAACTAAATAAACACCTCCACTTAAGAGTGTTCATTGATCATTATACTAAGACTAAAAAATAAAACCAGCTTACCTTCACTTGCTTAACGTGTGGTATTGGCACAATAAATTCTCCCACGTCTGTGTCACCAATTGATCTAGAGAGGCACAATCCACCAGGCCAGCAGCGAAGAGGCCCTACCTATAAACGAATTAAGGAGTCAAAACAGGCTAGTTAAAAGGTCCTGATTAGAAAGGAATGTGAAAATTATATCATCATACCTCATTGCCTCCAAATACATTGAGTCTACCTACTTCACCACCACTGGCAGTAACGCGTTCCCTCTCTTCTGCATTTTCTTCCAATCTGTGATCAACTGTCAAGAGAGAAACAACACCTCCCTGAGTATCTAATATGCAACGGGAATCCCCAACAGACGCAACAGTAACAGTCCACCCATCAATCACAACAAATGTAGCAGTTGTTCCAGAAGTTTCCCCTGCAGGTGAAATTAAATGGTCAGGATAAGTGCACATGGAAAACTCCAAAGGGATGTAAAGAAAACTCAAATATACCTTTTTTCTGAAATTCTATGTCAGTTTTTACAAAACTAGCAACTAGAGCACGAGGCAGAGCTTGAAGCCACTCATCCCTACTGATGTCTTGCGGGATTGCACTCATAACATTACTTAGTATGTTTTCCTTCGCAAAAATAGCAGCAGATATACCATTATGCCCATCAAAGATCTGCCAATCAAGAATTCCTTATGGATATCATAACCATTGTGGGAATAAATTGATGCTCCACTTGATCACTGAGAAAATATAGGAAAAGAAAGAAAACATACACTTCAATTGTCATTTATTTACTAAACCTGAGAAACAAACATGTCTCCAGTGTGCAGAACTGATTACCAATTCAGTCTTATCTTTGGCTATACTCTCATAATCTCATCTCCTATTATTCAAATATCTATCTCCAAACATTGAACTAAAATCAAAAGGAAGGATGCTAAGTAAATAAAAATTGTAAATGTAAACCAAGAACATAACCAATACCGCAAAGACAGAAAACAGTGTTGATGAATCCCCAGGAACTCTCTGACAATCTGTCTTGATTAGAAAGTAATCTTCTCCTTTCTTTGCCAAGCCAGCCTGCCCATACTTCACAAAAGGCTTTTCGTTTTTTCCATTTCGTAGCTCCCGGCCAATCAGGGTTGCCAGCGGAACAAGTGGTTGCTTCATATTAGATAATTCCGTGCTACTCATCTTAGTTTAAAATTAAACATTTCTGGAACCCCGGCAAAGAAATCCTAATCATCCAAACAAATTTGAAAGCAAAAATCAAAGACATAAGATCCATGTTCACTAATGAAGAGAAATCCAAAAGACTCAGCTACCTCTAGCAGATCTACATGCTTAAGGTTTCAATATTATTAGCAGCACAATCCATACACATAAGAAACCACGTTAGAGCCAACAAACTCACAAATACCATAATTTTCAAATAAGATCCATTTACTTTCAACTTCCCCTATTCAGTAGTCACATGGTGCAAAAAATCTGGAACTCTAAAGTATAACAGATCATAGATAATGAGCATTTTACAATAAACATGACAAAAGCCTTATTTCACAAAAAACAAATAAACCAAAGTTTGCTCGCATTTAACATATCAAATAAAATCACAACCAGATGACTCTGAGATGAGCACTATAGGAATACAATTCTCAACAAATTAGCGATTACAAAAACTACTCGAACCCATAAAACTAATAATAAAATAAAAAACTTTTAGAATTATCTCATAATTGGCTATCTCAGACTAACAAACTGGGATGGTGCATTTGAAAGAAAGAAAGAGTGGAATTGGAAAGTGGGGTGGGAAAAGCAAAACTCACAGGTGAAAAATGGAGATGGAAGATTCAGCATTTGATTAGTATGAAAAAAGAGGAGGCATTTGGAGAAAAGATGATAAACCCTAGTGACTCCGACATCGAGAGAGAAAGAGATCTTGCCCTGTTATTTGATTGGTAGAGAAATGTTCTAGACAGACGAAACGCGGAGAGAGAACAACCTCATAATGACGTTTTTTCCTCCTCATTTTTTCCTAACTTCAAACGCAATGCCGTATTTTCAATGTCAAATGTCAAATACTACACCTAACCGTGTGGTTCAGCGGTAGTTATTGATCGATGTTTAAGTAAGGTCAGGAGTTTAAATATTGTCTTGTGTATGTAGCCGCATTAAATTTTAAGATCAGTTATCCCACCTTTTAAGGTGCTTTCTTTTAAGGTGCTTTCAACGTAACTAAGTGATTTTTAAATAAATACACGTTCACACTGTTTTTCTTTTTTTTAGATGTATATGTAAGAGGATATTTGTGTAAATGGAATTTCATACTTATTTTAGTAATTATAAAAATATCGAGTTAATTTTCCAATGTCCCTATCGTGGTTTTTCTAAGCAAAACATCTTTTTCATGTCATAGTCGTTGCCAAAAAACGTCAATGTCTGTCCTTAATCTCATCGCTACGTTAATTTTTTAATTGACAGAAAAAAAAATTATCAGCACTAAGTCAATTCTTCTCTGTGCTGATTTTTTAATATAATCAATATTTTTTCCTTAGGTATTCTGTCTCACTTGTATTGTATATATAATATATAATATATGACATATAGGAATGGATTTCTCTTTAAGAAAATTATATGAATTATTTTTATTTTCTCTTATTTCTGGCGACTTAACATTCTCTTTTTTATTTTAAAATGGTTAAATGTATAAAAATATATTTTCATACAGCACATAAGAATACAAATATACAATTCAATACAGCTAATAAATAGGCTCGTTCAACAACTACAATACTAATTAAAATTGGGTTAAAAAAGTTTTGTTGGACTAAAAATTAAAAATAATAAAAAAAATGTGCAGGCTAGGTATGATTAGCTGAGTGCGGGGTTGTACATAAATCCAAAGGAGGATTTATAAAACCAAAAGTCAAAAGGGTGGTGGCAACATTATCGTAATTTACTTATAGTTCCAACTATGTTCTGCTATCATTGTGTCAACAACTTTTCGCTATAATTAGGTAGTAACCTTTTTTTTTCTTCCATTCTATTTCTATCTGCTTTATAATGTTCGGTAAAAATTAATATTGGAGTAATGTTTTTTTATTTTGTAATGAAATTAGAATATAGAATATAATATTTTAGTCTTATTATTAAGTCGATTTTTTGTAATTCTTATATTGAATTAAATTTATAAAAATAGTTTATTATTTTTATAAGTTTGTTTTGAATTATTTGAATAAGTTATTTAGTATGTTTTATTATAATAGTTTTAAAAAATTATTTTCTGATATTTATGACCGAATTTATGGTATATGAGTACTTGATTAAATTATTTATCTAAGTAATTCTTAATATAGATTTTTACATTTTTTAAAATTATAATATATAATTGATCCAGTTATATAATAAAATAATCAAATAATGTTTTTGAGATTAAATTAATTGAAAGATTGGTTAATTCATAATTCATATTTTGAATAAATTATTTTTCATAATAAAAGAAAATAAATTTTTCGTACATGACTAATTATTTAATTTAATATAATACACACATTTAATAACTTAATAACATAACATTATTAATAATGTTATATTATTTCCAACAATTCATCATACATCAATATAAATATATATAAAATTAAAAATTAAAAAAAAAAAAAACAAGTTTTTCTTACCTTTTCAACTCAATCTGGGAATAAGAGAAGAGGAAGAATAAAAGATACACGGCTTCGACTTGAAATTTTCGACTTTTCAATCTTCAAATCTTAATCAATCTACCTCAAACAGTTGTAGGAGAATATGAAGATGAGTAAAGGGAATGAAGTTTTGAAAAGATATTTTGAATTTTTAGAGAATTTATTTTTAAATTTTTCTTAAAACATAAATTTATGAGATTCATATATTAAGAAAAACTTTATATAATCATATCTCAATTGATTTAACTAATTCTAATACAACTTACTTAGAGATAATTAAACTCTGAATGACTTCTAGACTCTCAAAATTCTAAAATCATAAAATTAACAAACAATTAGCAACTAATCATCTAATTAAATAAAGACATCTCAAAACCAACATTCTTACGTCCAACAAATTTATTTCAATGTATTCGTAACTAAAAATATAAAATTACTTTAAAAAGGCTACTTCCTTTTTTTTAACTGCGAAAAACCAAAAGACTACAAAAAAATAAAATAATATATATATATATTATTCGTTGTCAAGTGTAGAGTCTTAAACCAGGTTTCGAATTTTCATCTTAAAAAATAATCTTTTAAGAGTTTGAAACCCTTCATTAGTTCTTAATTTTAATCAATATTATTTATTTTAATCGTTTTTAATATAAATTGACGAAAATACAAAGTAAAAGTAATTGGAAATAAAAAAGAATGTTTTGTAAAGTTATCGAGCAACAAATAATTTTGAAAATCTAAAATATTAAAATATATGAGTTATTATCCTATGGAAGAAGTGTCATGATGACGTGGCCACGTGGTGGTGGGGTGGCGGATACAGCTGGAAAGACAATTAATTATCTGTCGTCCAGCCCACTGCCCACATAATAAGTAGATATTGTTGGGCCCATTTCCATTTCCTTTTATCTTCACTTTTAAGTTTTAATCAAACCATACTCAAATATCAATTCATTATTAGGACTTAGGACTAGTATTCAAAACACATCTATTTTATGTATCCTCTCCAAACACAAAAAGTCACACTTTCTTTTAAATTTGCCAACTTTCGTTGAGAATAAAAAATGTAAAGAAAGAAAGTAATAAATAAATAAATTAGAAAGTAGTATGATTTTTAGGTTGTGTAGTTAAAAAGAAAATGAAACAAAAAGAAGATACTTTTTCCTATTCGTTTATTTGGTTGTATAGAAAGTAAATGTATATGAAATAATATAAATATCATTGATAGTGTAACCAACAAAGGTAATTCAGCTTCAAAGGTAATTGATACTCCAAAGGAGTACCTAGTTTCCAAAAGAAAGTATTTCCCAAAAGAAAAACTATAAAAATAAGGATGTTCACAATGAAGCTAGATGTTCTAATGATGCAACTAATAATTATGAAAAAAAAAGTCCATAAAAAGCAATATTACAACTGATGGAAGTATTGACCAGGATGCATTTAGCATGAAAGGAAGCTATGGTGATGCTTTAAGTGTCCTTTTGAAGAAAAAGCTGCAAGAATTGACATCTAGAATTAACCCGGCTCAATGCTCTTTGATGACAGAAGGGTTTTCTGCTAGTTTAAGATCTAGTTTGGAAGACAAATTTCACACTCTGGTAAGGAAAAAGACAGAAGCTTTCACCACAACCAGCTTAGTAATAAATTGGACAGCACGCATGTTGATTGTTTGTCAAGTGATAATATGATGCTTAACATGAATGTTAACAAACGTATCCACCTAAGCAAAAAACAAGTGACCAAAATCATTCATACTGCTACAGATACCATTGGCTCAAGATACCACCGATTTACCCGCACGTGTACTGATGAAGGCTGAAAACAACAATACTCTACATCTGAATTTTGAAACCATATAGAATACGCCTATGACTATGATCATAATATAATAATATCCTCAAATCTCAGTTTCAGTTTGCACAACACAAATCAGAAAAGTGAAGGGCATTCATTTCATTATTTATTACCTTAATAAGCCTTCTTGATCTCTGCAGCAGATGCATCAACATTGACACCTAACATGTCATAGTAGGCAGTGTCCTTCACCATAGCTTGTGACAATCGAATAACAATTCACACCTTTAAATTAAGCAAATTGAATAAATGCCAAAAGGGGGCAAAAAATTACAAATTAAAATAAATAGTTAGCAGCATGGTATCAATAGAAAACACTAGAACATTAAGAAAGTTAAAATGCTCGTTAAATAATTTGCTAACACAAAATTTGGAACCAACCCAGAAAAAAAAAATGGAATAAGTTTCGAACTTGAGATATAGAGAGTTAACAATTCGAAGGAACCTCGGATTTCAATCATCTCCAAGTGTAACAGAGGAGGCTGAATAAGTAATGTCTGATGGGGAAACAATTGCTGGTTTTTAAGGTTTAAACAAACTGGCTCCTGGTGCAGAAAGGCGTTTATCCACAAGATTTAAATATTTGATCTTTGTTTTGGATGGGTAGGTTGAATGCCGGAGGCAAACATTACTCAAACACTTTGGAGAATCTTTTGACAGAAAGGTCTGCAAGTACGGAGCTAGCCCCTGTGATAATTGTCTCAAGACGGCATTATGAGTTGTTGCACGATCAATGTCAAGTCTGGTATACTCTAACCAACTCCGAGGAGCAGTGCCTTTGGCGTTTTTGCCCTTTAGATTTTATCTTAATGGCTTACCCGTTGAAAGGTCAAAGTCTCTTACTACGTCCTAGGTAACTATTTTTTTTTTTTTTCAGACCTACATAAAAGAAAAATATCTTTCCAGGATGTACCAAAATTTTGAAGGAAAAAAAATGAAGGAACAAGCAAAAATAATTAAATTAAAACACAATTCTTATCCTGATAAACCGGAAATGGCGTTCCATAAATTCTTTCCAGGCCATATTGTTGGTCTAGCTAGAGTCACCATTGGTTCCTTCTTGGGGTGTGTATGTGAATGAGTTAGTTAAAGTTAACTTACGTTCAGTGCAATGGGACAAGAGTTAATTTTACGTTTTGCGTATTCAGTGAAGATCTGTTAAACAATTTCGTAATGATAAACCAAACACACATAGGTGCTTGAAGTACAAGAAATGGATACAGCTTCACCCGGAAACAGCTGTCCATTTTGAAGCTTCAATTTTTTTAAGAACTTGAAATATTTTCTCAGTTAAAATGGGATTCTTTTAAGAAAACATTAATAAAGAGACCGATGAAGTTATACATATTCACCAGACAATATCCATACACATTAAAGACACATTAAAACGAATAATACATACACAATAAGACGAACATTATTTATTCATCACAATAGCTATTATAAATGGACTTGAATTCCCTTGCCGTTAAAAAGTAACCAGAGGGCCCTACAATCATGATCCAACGTCTTAAGTTTTTTAATTTATATTTTTATTATTTAATATATAATAATAAATTTTCGTGGTTAAATTTTTCATCCAGTTACTTTTGTCTTACATTACAAATTAGCAACTCACCTGAAGTTTGATGATCAGTTGATGATCATTAAATTGTATTTTATGTAACTCACGTGTATGTATTATGAATAAAAATATAATTATTAATGTTTTGCATTTACAGCCCCAAAAGTTAATCATTATTTAATAACAATATATACGCGTCATACTAAAATCAGGTAGGAGTCACAGAAGGATGACAAATTCATTAAATATAAGGTATGATTAATAAATAAGTAAATATTATAGAGGAGTCAGCTCATAATCGTGCCTTAGAATGTGTTTAAAAATAATTACGTTTAATTCAACAGGGTTGAAAAAAAAATACATTCACAAATTTTTGTTTTCTACTTTAGAATGTGTTTTTTTTTAATATGAATTTAAATTGGTATCTAAATACATCCTCGGTGTCCGATTTGAATTATGCTACGTACTAGTTAGTAGTTGCTACTCATACAAACAGCTGGAGTACTACCGACTCGTCTCACATGCACTCACGTTAAGATCATTAATTAATTTTAATTGATCCTCGGAGCGACAAGGAAACAAAATAAGAACAACCTATTCAAGTATTTGCTACATCTTCAGATAACAATTTTACTACCAATTAATTTGTTACTTTGAAAACCTTAAACCCCCACAATCAGTATCAACTTGATATATTATTTATTTATTTATGAGAATTGAACTCAGTACAAAAACAATTTACGACACTCACGCAAATTTCAATTTTCAACCAACTGACTATACTTTCTTGGTATATCATAAAATATATTTTTAACATTTCTTTTGTTTTTAAAAATTCTGTATTCTTTAAATTGGCTTAGCTAAGTTGATGTAAAAAATGTCTTAAGTCAGATTATGACTGTCTTCTTCACGTTTACAAGTTTTATTATTATTTTGTAAGGAATGAGAATTGAGAATTTTTGTGAACACCTAACTTCTATTTTGCTTAATTTCTGTTTATTTCAAAACTTATATAAAAATAGCGTTTCAATTAAATTATTTTAGAAAATTGTTTTTAATAGTTTTATAAGAATTTAAAATTTAAATTTTTGGGAAATAATGTATTCTCCAAACATACCTGAATCATTTACTAAAGAACCAACCCGTGAATAAATTAAACGGATGGTTAAATGATAATAAGTTTATGAGTATTTTTTTAAAATTAAAAATTAATTTCTTTTGAAATGTATAAATTATTGATTATTGATGTGAATTTTAACTTTTTTTTTAACAAAGTGATTTTTATATATGTTTAATGATGTCAAAAAAATTTTTTTTTACAAAGATCCGTTACTGACAAAATTATTGTATATTTTATATCAACAATATGATTAAAAATACCAATAATATAAGAAAAATATTTTACAAATTTATGATAAACAAACGGCTTCCCTGTTTTTATAAATAATAATTTGTTTCTTATTTTTATAAAAAGAGTCTTATACTCTTATATATCGTTGTCTTCAAGATGTTAATTAAGAAATCCTTAAATTAAAAAATCATGCTAAAAAATGAATATCCTAAGATATTGATAAAGATTTGCTTCCAAAAAAACAAGGCGTGATTTATCTGATAGCCAAGGTCATGCAGCAGAGGACTTGTACAAGTCAGAATAGCAATGTGCTTGAGAAGAATAATCAAAAGCAGTATAGTGTAACCAACAAAGGTAATTCAGCTTCAAAGGTGGACTCGAATAAGTCAACTCAAACTTGGTCTTCAGTGAGTTCTACTGGCGATATATATATATATTTGTATTTCGTTCTTGCATGTATTGAAACCAAAAGAAGGAAAGAAAAACTTATCATTGTTCCCGTTCTCCTCTATTTCACTTCTTCCGCACAAAGTATTAACACTTCTTCCGAACCACATGTTAAGGTTTTGGCAAAACAAAAATGTAATCAATATTTTATATTTTATACAAAAATATTATGTAAATTTTAATACAATTAAAAAAATGTCTTTCATGCATATAAGTAGGTTCCCCAACTGTTGAAGTTAAAGCAATTATCGTCCAACATGCACTTTTGTAGATAACAGAGTTTAATTTACAAAATAATTTTGTGTTATAATATAAATTATTTATTATAAATTAAAAATATTATTTGTATAATTAAAATATGAATTTATACAATTTTTAAATATAATTTAAATATTTAAGTATTATATTATTTATATATAATTTATTATAATTTTTTTGTTATATATAATAAAGATTTAGTCTATATAATATACTGGTATAACTAATAATGCATAAGATTAAGAAAGTATAGGACTTCAATATATTTTAAAAGACTTTTTTATTATAAAAAAATATAGTAGTATTCAATCAATAATTTTTTAATATAAAATAATCATGTGATATTCAATTAAGATAATCATAATTTTTGTAAGAGTCTATCAAAATATAATGGTATTCAATTAAGACAATTAGGATTTTTTTAAGAGTCTGTCAAATTTTGTATTTAATTAAGACTTTTTTATTTAAAAAAAATCTACTGGTATTTAAAAATATATAAATTTTAATGGATTATTTTGAATAATAAATTTTACAAGACTTTTTAGTATAGTTTACATATAATTCATTCATCAAACAATCTCATCAACTTTTTTGAGATTTTGCATGACTTTTTTTCTCTTCTATTTTTATATTTTCTTTTTTTTTTCACTCTGTTAAATTTTTTCTCTCGTCTTTCTTGTTTTTCTCTCTTATTCTCTCTCTTATTTTGTTCTCTATCTCAATTTTTTATTTTTATTCATCTCACATTTATTTCTTCGTCTTCGTCTCATTTTCTTTTTTTCTCTCAACTTTCTTGCTTCTCTCTCTTTCTTTCTTCGCTATCACTTTTCTCTTTCTCTTTTTATTCATCTATCTCATTTAGCTTCCCTTTTTCTTCTTTCTCTTTCTCTTTTTTATATCTTTTTTCTTCTTCTATTGATATATAATTTATCAATATTTGTTTTTTTAATTATTAAATATTTAAAATGATTTTTGTGTTATTAAATATTATTATGATTAAATTTTTAAATTTATTAAATTTTAATTATTTATTTTTAATAAAATTTAATATTGAAATATAAAATTTTGAAACATATGTTAAAAAGACTTTGCAAGTTATGATAATGACCCTCAAAATAAAAATGAAGTTTTTAATTTCCATCATGCATCTTTAAGAGATGTGATTGAAAGAATATTTAGTATTTTTAAATTATGATTCATAATTTTTAAGTTAAGGTCTGTATTTCTATTTAAGACACAAACTAAACTTGTATTAACATATTGTATTACATAACTTTCTTTGCAAAGAATGTCGTTTTGATGAATTTTTAATTGAATTAATAGATGAATCTTTATCTTTAATATTATCAATTAATAAAGACTATAATTTTGAACATATTGTCAATGCAAGTATACCTTTAGACGTAAAAAATGTTAGTTAAGAAAACATTAAAGTCAATTATTTGTTAAAAAGATAGAGACAATTATTTATCAAAATATAGAAAAATTATTTTGATTTTATTTTAATTTATTATTTATGTTATATTTTTTTTATTAAATCGTGTAGTATTAAAAATCTGTGTTTTTCTATGAAATGCATAAAATATTTTATAATCTTATATTATAATATAAATTCATCAAAATCCATTAAATTTGAATTATAGAGTCTCAATTAAAATCTAAATTTTAAAAAGAAATTTAAAAAAATTTAAAAGTCATGACATTCTTACAAAATCTTTTAAAATTGACAAGATTTTTTTTTTTTTTGTTAAAATTGTGTTTCAAAATCCCTATCCAATACATCTCTAAACTTAATATTTGAATGTCATTGAAATCTATTATAAAAAATTATTTTAATTAATTTATGAAATATTTTTTATCTTTAAAATATATAAAAATTCCGTTCCTTAAAGTTTTTAGTGCCTTGTCCGCATTTGTTCACATATTAATTTCTATACATAGTCAAAAGTAGAATTATATTTCCATTCATTGCCGTCAGTCTCCTAATTATAGTGCAACAAAGGGCACTGAAGGTGGAGGAGTTTCTTTTCTTTCCCATACAAAAATCATGTCTGTGTAAAAAGATGGCTTGGATTAATTTGCATCTCATATACTCACGAGAGAAACACAAGCAACTATTTGAATGCCCCTTTCTATAAATAAATAACCTCTTTCTCTCTGCAACTAAAGTATAGACACATATACCCAAAACTAAAATGTTAGGGCAGTGGTGAGAAACCTTATAACTTAAGTAGTTTTCTCATTTGGTATTTCCAGTTCTTCTTTTTGCAACTGGAAGCTTTCCTTGTTGACTAACTACGGTGAGTTGTAATTGTTTCCTTGATGATGGAGACGATGACGGGATCACGATCCTACTTCACACACAAAGTGATATAGGAAGTTAATAAATAAAAAAGTTAGTTAAGCATAATATGATCCTAGACCAGACAAGAACATTATGAGTAGCACGAATGCAATGCCAGTGCAACACCAAACCTAAAAATGAATATACATATACCTGGTTTCTTGGTTCTTCTTTTGTCTAGGATGAGTTGATTTCTTTGTTCTAGACACTAATCCGTTGGAAAGAGACATTGCTTTAGGTACACGTGTTTGTGATTGCCAACTCCTGTCTGATTCTGAACTTTCACTAGTTGCTAACTCAAGCTCATCAGAGTCATTATTTGTGGTGACTACCTCCAAGCATATTTTTGAAGGTTCTGAAAGAAACTTGGGACTTAACATTGGAGAACTCGACTTTTTTCTTTCTGTTTCACACTGTCCCTCGAGGCTATCATCAGTCGTTAACTGCTCATTACTTTTCATACTCTTGTTAACACAATCCCCAGAAACCGATTCCTTATCATCCTCGTTTCCACTGACCCCTTCATGATGTGGCCATCGGGGTTTCCTATAAATGTCTGAGGGATCAAGGCTTCGTCGTTTCATGAGCCTGGGTGTTTCCTTTTTCTTGTCCTACAAAATCGTTTTTCACATGCATGTAAACATCATGTTTTTAGAGAACTTACGTGTGATTAATCAACTATTGGGTTTTGGACAAATTAAATGTATAATCTCCTCATTCATTCACATGTTATACTTGAAATTATTGTTCATGCAACGTGAATGTTAATTTTTTAACCACGTATGACAGATAAAACTTTTAAGAAAATCAATAATTATTGCACATGTCAATTTGCAATTAAATGATAATGTTAGACTGATAGGGCACGAACTTTATACTATTACACATGCCTAGTTTTACTAGAAATAATAACATTCGAAATTTAGGATCATTAAGGTCAAAGGTGAGATTGCTATACTAAATATGTATGTATACTTTATAATGGAGTTTTTACTACATTTTAGCACCCTCTTATGTCTTCCTTTCTGGATCTCGGCTCGTGAAAGAAGGGACCAAAAAAATATATTAGCAACATTAATCACAAAAATTATACCCTATAATTTATGAGTTAATCATTTATACACTGTCTTTTTACACTGACAATCAATTATATCTCTTAATTATGTCATGTCACTGTAAACACATTTACTTTAACAGTGACATGAAACAATTAAGAAATATAATTGGTTGCTAGTGTAAAAAAACTTTGTACTGGCAGTGTATAAATGATTAACTCATAATTTATTTCATAACTCTATAAAAACTTAATTAAATTTTTTTTTAAAACTCTACCCTATCTTTTATTTAGTTCTTCAGCATTAATTACAAAAATTTGATCTAAAAGCTTGTTATTCTCAAACATTTCTCTACATTGATATTATAATATATAATTCTTCAACATTAATTACAAAAGTTTGATCCAAAAGCTTGTTATTCCCAAACATGTCTCTACATTAATATTATAATATATTTACTTTAAGTTTAAGTCTTCATAATTTTATTTTTTATTATCGTTTAAAATGTCTCTTACCAATAGAGATATTTGTGTATATGTATAAATTTATATTCATCTTTTTTATTATAATGATATGAGATTTTGATTGTATTTCAACACTCATGTTTTGTTTAAGATAATTCTAATAATAAGTTTAGTGACAAAATTTTTGGAAAAAACGGAAATTTTTCTCTAAAAATCAAGTTATACCAAACATATGCGTTAAATTAATTTCATGGAGTTCCGGTTGATAATATGTTACCCCCATACTACTAGATTCATCTCTTGGTGGCTTACGACCTCCATGTGAATAACTAGGAAACCGTGCAAAGGAAGACAATTGAGATTTGGTCTTTGGAGTTTCAATAATGCCATTTGCAGACTGTTGAAATTGTTCCAATTCTGCATCCTTCCTAGTCGAGTCTGCCTTCAGACTAGCAATCTGACAAAGAAGGAATTAGAAAGTTCATATTGAAAATGCATAATAGTGATATAAGTATAACAACCCATTAATTGAATGTACTAATTGCTCAAGAACCAAAAACAAAAAAATGTAAGAACCTGTTCTTTAAGCTCTTTGACCTCTGCACTATCTTTGTTAACACGTGCAGCACCAAGTTCAATAGTGGAGACCCTTTCTGCGAACTTCAATGTACTAACTGTTTCTCCAAGGGCATCAGGCTCCGGACTAACGTGAACAAACATGAGTGTCTTTGCTTGGCCTCCTGATACATATGTAACTAATCAACTCCTTAATAGACAATGCCTAAGTTGAGACAAATTGTAGTGATTGAAGAAACTATATTTGATAGAAGCATTGATATGAAGGCATACCAAGAGAATCTTGAAGCAGTTGAGTAAGTTTACTGTTCCTATAAGGAACATGTGATTGCTTTTGGGCAAGTGAAGCAATCACATCTCCTAAAGCGGAAAGTGACTTGTTAATATGTTGAGCCTCCTTCAGCCGATCGCCTACGACCTCAGATTTATCAACCCTCTCACTTCCTGCCAGGTCAACTAAGTGGATACAACCACGAAGACTATTCCCTGATGCAAGCTCTCTTCCTTGAACATGAACTGTCAAGCAACTGAAATTATAGCATTACAAGCTAGCACCACTTAATATTGTGATGGAAAACATGAATGGTCAAAAAAAGACCAAAATGTGCTATAGTCTAGCTCACTAAAATAGGTTACTAGTTTTTCTACCAACAGAAATGATAATGGGAAAACTACAATGTTTAAATTCTATAATGAAGTTAACCAAGACTACTTTTTTCTTTTTTTGGATCATGTTGTTTCAAATGAAATCAGTGCTTTAAGTTCAAGAATTTAAGGGATAAACTTAATATGTACCTATGAGAACGACTACTCCGATCATTCATGGCAGTAGCACTAACTGACCGATTCTTTTGTCCCAAGTTCATTAAATGTAAGACATCAGAAGTGGATGAAACAGGAACCAGGTTTGCATCTGGCACGTTAATGCCATTATGGGAACTGTTGCGAATTTCTAATGTAAGCAGAAGTTAAAGAGTCACATAATCATTAATCTAAAGTGGCATGCATGGATCCAGTATAGAGAAAAAAATTTAATTTGCATAGAGAAAAGGATATCTTTTGTTAGTAGTGTCTGTGGTTAATAGGTCTCTGACTTGCTCATTGTAAATCTCAAGCATCTGAACAGATATATCATAGTGAATGGTGTCTTTCCTCTGATCGGAGAGACTGAAAAGATCTCTCAGTGCACGGTAGTTGACACCTACTGTTTCCTCGGTATAATTGTCTGGTCCAGACTGCATTAATACATAGAAGCACTGAGATAGTTATTACTTGTTACAAGTTAGAGGGAGAAAACATGGAAGCAACAACATGGTCTAAATCTCTCACCATAGTGTGTGTTTTTCCTGATCCTGTCTGGCCATAAGCAAATATACACACATTGTAGCCATCAAGAACCGAACGAATTAGTGGTTGCGTATCTGAGAAAACCTCCCCTAGAGACAAACAAAAAGAGCAACCATGAAGCAACCATATAGAGTGACAAACTGACAATAATTTTTATGGAAGGACAACAGAAACACCAACCTTGAGTTGAAGAAGGACCAAACACTCTATTGAAATTAAATGTCTTCTTCCCCTCTTTCCCATTTTTAGAAGGTATTACGAGTGTGATACTTCCTTCATCTATGTTACTGATAGGGCTTGGTTGTCCAACCGTTGAGGGTCGAACTCTGCAGTACACCCTAATATTCCCTACCAAGGTATCAAATTTGGCCATTTAGTCTTATTCAGAATATAGATATAAAAGGAGAAAATTTGTATAAACTCTGACCACTTCAATTTTACCTTTCAGGTCTTGCAATTGATTATACAACTTGCGGTTTTCTTCAAGAATTTTCTGATATCCTGAAGCAGCAGAAGCTAGGCCATGAAAGTGCTTACCTATCAAGGGAAGGTAGTAATTAGCTAGACTATAGATATTCTTGTAAAAAGTGTTGGATATTTGTAAGGAGTATACATACATAGATTGATGAAATCCTCCTGGTATTTCTGTTGCAAAACCTGTATTCCTGTTTTTGTTTGATGAACCATCATTTTCAACTCCTAAGGATTGTCAACATCAAATTGGTTACTTTATCTTGTGCATAATGCATTCCTGAAACAATGTTCTACCTCATATTTTGGGCCCATGTTTAGACAACCTAGGAAAACTCCTAAGCCAAACCACTTAATCTAGCTTTAGTTTCATGTATATATAGTATGGTATTAGAGTAGACTCATACATGGTGCAATTTGGGTTATTATATATATATATATATATATATATATATATATTTCTAACATAAATTACCTGAACATTTTCATTTTGATGCTGAAATAACTTTTGCTGCTTCAAACGTTGGCTGCGTGATTCTTTGTCATCATTGTTCTTCACATCATCGCTTTCCTGCTGTTTATCCTCTACATCTTCATCTTTTTCCATCTTAATTGATTGAACCAAAAATTAGTTAGGAGTTACATCATGATACCAAGGAATTTATGTACACGTTGACTTGCAATTTGCAATGTGTTATGAAATTTTCTCTTGAAATCAATCTCTTAGATTTACCACTTCATTATCACAAGCAGAATTTACATTTAAATCCTCTGCTTCAGGTGGTGCCTTATCATCTTGAATTGTTTTGAACTGTCATAATAAAATTTTTGACATAAAATTCAGCAAGACTCGTGGACCCTAGTTTGGTGAGGACATTTAAATCAAAACAGTATGAAAATTTTCTTACGAATGGTATCACTAATATGAGGTTCAACTTGGTTAGAACTTAGAAGACAGAGATACACACCGTTTCTTGTTGGATTAGCAAGCGTTGTTCAAACTCCTCCATGACTTTGCTAAGTAGAGACTCCACCACCTGATATAGCAAAAGACATTAGCTCTTCATTGTAGAGAAAATTTAAAATAAATAAATAACAGATGAATGTTGTGCAGGCAAATTGAATATTTTAGCAGAGGGTAAGCAATAACCCTCACAATGGGAATTTCTTCTTGCTTTTTATTAGATAAAATTTCACGAACTAGTGAATTCAAGGAGGGAAAAGAACCCTGCAAATACAAATCCAACAAAAAAGCTCAGACAGATGCTACATTATTCACCTTCCACATGTAGACACAGAAGCAAAAGATTATAAAGGATAATACTCTCTAACCCCGTCATTGAGATCATGCCCCGCCCCAGCACTGTCTGGAGAATTTTCATTCAGCAAACCATCTCTATCACCTAATATAATACCCCTTGACAAAGACCTCATGAATGGTTCTGAGTTTTTCCTCACAATAGGTTTCGCACAGTTAGTAGATGGCTTTGGACTCCCACCATATTTCCATAACCCATTTTTTCCACTCAGTTTCGATTCACTGTAAGACTTGAGTGCTAAAACACAATTCACTATCCTAGAAGATTTCCCTCCCTGCACATGGAGAAAATTTTGTTAAAGCAGAATAAAATTGAATTATAATAGTGCAACATTGATTTCAATGAAGCAAGTCTAATAAATGAATGAATGAAAATAAACTCTTTCAGCTTCACCTGTTCCAAATCAGAAACTTCAAAGGTGGGAAGCCCCATTTCCTCCATAGTTACTAGAAAATTCCTTACATTTTCAAAGTATTGATAAGCAGACAGAGCTGCCCCATCAGGAATAATAACACTATCACAAGGGGCTTCAACTACCTAAAATTACAGGTTCCATGATTGTCATATGTCAAATTGATAGTCAATGGGAAGGACATGTATATATATAAATAATGCTCAAAGAGCATAAGGCATAACTATAATATACATGCCTTGGGAACTGCTCCGGGTTGAACTTTGTTAAGAGCATTGCAAAGGATAATGCCACTACGCAATGCAATCCTGAAATCCTCTTCAGTAGGCTCACCTGGCATGTCTTTCCCTCCAACAAGTCCAACTGTTTTTCGCAGCCACCCAGCTGCTTCGTTCCTTCTCGAGGCTGCAATACCACACACTTGTCTAAGCTTCAAGATCAACACACATGGTTCATTAAAACCCATCAAAAGAATTCCTTACAAGCCTTTGGTGTTATTATCCCACCAGACCTCGACAACTTATATTAATGTTTAATGAAAGCCTTTATTATGTAATCTAGTGACATGAAACTCCAATTCAGACGGAAAATAACACCGAAAACACTTAAAAGAATTGTATCTAAGTTTTACTCTTAAAAGAACACAATTTTCAACATTGTGAATTGATTGAACATTTCCTGAAAAAAGAGAAATTAAGAGAAGAATGGAGAGAGGGGATATGTACAAGCTTCTTCAGCCTTCCTTGATGCCAAGTCAACGTCGCTTAAACGGCTTCCATGCTTTTGAAGAACATCTTCAACCACAGATACAACAGAGAATGGCAAGGCTAGCTCAGGCGCCATTGCTTGGCCTCAAAAACAACAAATGGTGGAAAAAGAATTCCAACCAGAATCTAATACGAGTCCTAGATATTAACTGAAAGAAAACAATCCAAGCCTTCCATACGGAGCTTCAATGATGGCCAAAATGGCAGCGTAATTGTTAGCTAGATTCAGAGAGAAAGAGAAAGAGAATGAACGTATGAACCCTGAGATTCTGAAAACGGCTCCTGCATGAAGCCGCAGAATCACAGGGAAAGGCAAGGAATTAAAGAGAAGGAAAATGGCTTTTGAAAATTTTCCTTCTCTGGTTTTCTTTGTTTGTGTAGTTTCCCGTTTCTAATATTGACGTGAAAAAGCTACACCGAACCTCGTTCCGAACCTCACGCTTGATGGTTTGCATCAAAAGTTGGCAAAGACATCACACTTTTCTTTTTCTTTTTCTAGTTTATATCCTACTCATTTCTCAAATAACTAATGACTCATATTTCTTTGTATATATGGTGACAATATGATAAAAAAATTTTTTAAAACAATGGAAAAAGAAACACTCCGTCTCTATATATTTATTTTAAAATAAAAAATAGTTAGTGATTTATAGTCGAAAAATGAATAGTTTAGGAATCATTATAAAGGTGAAATAGTTTAAAGGAATGTATAAAAAGAAAATCCCTTCTGAAATATCTATAGATTCTAGTTATTTGTTATGTATTTTGAACTCACTAATTACAGCTACACCTTAGTTTGGATATGATTAGCTGTACCTCTTGACTTGTAATGAAAAGCATCTTAGTAAAGTTGATAGCAAAATATTCAATAAGTACGTCCTCTCTAAAATCCATATATATTTCTTAAACTAATGGCATAAAAAGTAAAAGTATTTTTTGGTGGTACTCATATTCATTATTTTAGCCAATTTGTGACTCAACAAATAATTTTAATTCATAATGGAATTTCAATATATATCGTTGCTTATAATTTCAATTATTTATAGAGTTAGTATGTTAATTTAATTTTACATATTAACAATTATATGGGATGTTAAACTCATTAAGTTATTTGAAAAAAATTATTAATAAGTGCAAATCTTGTTTTATAGTAACATATCAAAATTGGATTTTTATCTATATAAATGTACGTATACATACTTTTGGTGAATCTTTATTTATTTGGTTTGAGTTTGTGTAGTCAAAATTAAAAGTTGCCCTTATGGAAAACAGTGACGATGAACATTACAATTAAAATTTTGTACATCTAAATTTCTTTAATCATGCGATTTGTTTCCATGTAACGGAGTTAATTAGTAATAAAATAGTAATGTAACATGATTGATTCAAGTAATACGTGTGTGATTCTTTTTAAATAAAACTTTAAGTTCAAATTTTGTACTTGAATAAGAAATCTTTTGTTGAGACCAACATAAATAATAATGTTGGAAAGGTAATTAATGTTGTATTATTATCAATAATTACACATCTATTAAATGTTTATTTATATTTATATTTACATATTTATTAAATATTTAAATACATTTAAAAAAATGAATCATATAGTGATAGATAATATATTTATATATATTCTATCGTGATTTTTTTTTACAATTCATATAAAATATATATAATCTAAACAAAAATAGGAAAATATAAAATAAGAAAGAAAGGAGATGTAAAAATAAGAAAGAAATTAAAAATATAATCTAATAAAATCAATGAATCTGATCAAACGCATTTATGATGAATATGATTAAAATTTTATATTAATTAATAAGAAATCTATAAAAAAAAAAAGTATCATTAATAAAATAAATAAATAAATTTCTCACAAGTTATTTTATAATTGAATTAATTCAGGAAATACTAACACTGAATTACTAAAAAGTTATAATGATAAGTGTAATACATAACATATATCGGCATGAACATTTTTATATAAAAAAAATGAAATGAATAAAAGGTCGAAACTTATGTTATAATTCAAAATTTTAAAACAAGCTGCTTCCAAAGGCTTCAAAAGTTATAGGAAATATTCATAGATTCATTAATAATTATTTTGTGATTTGTTGCAACGGATAAATTTGTCATAATTTTTTTGGTTACAATTTATCAGAATTTTTTGTTTTCCAAAAAAACACCTACTTCATATAGCTCTTACAGTTACATTTCGAACTTTAAAAAAAAAAAATTGTGGTTCATGTTTTCATATTGTAACCAATTATATTGAAATAGCCTTGCACGAGTTTTAGTTAGTGAAAAATAAATCATTGAATAGAATAAGATAACTTGGGAGATAAATCCCAAAAGCTCAAGTTTACGGGTACCAATTAAAAGAAACTAAATGTGAGACAAAATTCTAGAAATGACCAAGGTATTACAATACACAAAGATAATTAAACGATTCCCAACAAATCTGATTTGACAACAAAGTCCAGAAAATATTTTGCAGCATTCATGTTAAGTGTTGCATATATCGCACCTAATTTTTTAGCTCACCAACCTCATCAGACCAACACAAACTTGATGAACCTCTACCCCTTCCCCTCTAGTGAGCGTTGAATTTGTAGTCAACCCACTAATTCGGTTTGATTAGACATTAATATATTTTTATAACGAATTTGGATTGTGTTTTAATCCATCCAATTTAATTTAACATATAATATTATCCTCTAAAGTATAAATTTTTTAATTATTGTGTATTAATATTAAAATTTTAGTAATATTTTTTTATAATATAATATTATATTTATAATGTAATTATTTATTTTAAGATATATATTGTAAATTATATTTAATTTAATTTTTATATTTATTTTATTTTATAATTTAATTATAGATAATATTAAAATTATTATGATATAACGCAGTCAAATCAACTTAATGTATTATATTATATATTATATAGATATATTTAACAATATATACAAAATTATCACTCCTATAATGTATGATGGGGCTTTGTCCCCTGCATTTACAACCCACTTAGTCATAACACAATAAACTGATCGTTCAACTCTCTCTCTCCATAGAATGTAAGTCATGCCCAACAATTACCATCTCTTTTTAGCCCTTATTATTGTTAAGACCAATTTTCATTACCTTCATCACCACCATATATAACCATTTTTTGCCTAGTCACTATGATTTTTTTTTTACCCAAATGGAGCATAACTCCACTTATGATTAGTACTAATTAGAGATGTCAAAATAAAATTTGAATTTAACTCGGAATTTATTTTTATACTTTCATTATTTTGCATAACATAATAATAAGAATTATATAATTTTAAGCCAATTTCAGTTATGACTATAATTCTTATTCCGTGCATTAAATGGGCCCTAAATGAATAAGGCATGTACTCCTTTTTAATTTACCAGACATCTTGCAGTAAAATTTGGTTATTGAGACTTAGCTAGGATGTATTTGAGTAAACAACTTAACTAAGTGTCTTATTAATTAAGTGCTTACTATGTAAGTATTTATATATGTTATTTTATAATTAATAATTAAAAAGGAAATAATAGTTAAATTATTCTCAACAACTTATCAAAACAAGTTAAAAATGATTTATTAATATATGAAACTATTTTCATAAACTCTTTCAAACACTTACACAAATGTTTATGATATAAAATAAATCTAAGCTTTCATGCTTGGTTGATGCCAAAAGCTATGGCATCTAGTTTAAACTTTCAAGCCACTAAAGGTTGGGGAAGCCCAATCTCCACCCAAAGTTATATATGCTACATATCCTATCCCATACAATCTTTTTATGATAAAATCAGAAAGCAATTTGAAACTTGCACCATTGATTAATTTCTTGGATTAGTCAAATAAAAGTAGTAAGAAAGCCCTACCTTTCGGGTTTGCTCTGCAACCAAAGATTGAAGATTCACTGCACTGGATCCATTTTAATTGGTCCCTCGGCCCAAACAACCAATTTATCGTAAATTAACAATGCATTGAATGAGTATGATTTGGTAGAAAGTAGTCTTGTTGACCAGGCACAAGTTCATTCATTTTCCTTTTCTTATTAAACTTTTATATGCTATAGAAAACCTTCGTGGGTCTCGATTTATGTACCTTGTAAATCGATTTTGATCTTGCTTTCGTACCATCATGCCCTTCCCTCTTTCAAATATAGATCAATCCTTAAGTGGCAATGTTGTCAAGCTTTTAAAGGTATGACATGCATAAGGTTCTTTTCATGAAGGCAGAAAACATGCATGTATCTATCTTTTAATTATCAAATCCCTCTAGCTACACTTGTTATCCCAAGATCTTGTTAGTTCGACAGATTAGGCATCTGATTAATCGTGTATATGAGTTATTTGTGAATTATTCAAGTTCAATTTGTTAGTTAATCATTTAAATTTATTTATTTAATTAAATAAACAAATTCAAACTTCAAATAATTAAGTTTGATTATTTAAATAAATTGAAATTAGGTTTTTTACTTGTTTATCAAGCAAAAATGATTATAAAGAAAGTATCATAATCAAAAGTGTTTTTTTGTCAAACCATAAAGAAATGAGAAAATTGTTTTTCTTATAAGAAAAGAGGACATAAAACCTTAAATTGTTATTTTTTGTTCTTGAGAAAGAATTATATAACCTTAAGGATCAAATACAATACGAGTACCTATGATATTACTTGCTTTTGATGCAGAAATGTCTTATGGTAGTATAACACCTATTTTTTTAATTCGTAATTTATATGATTCATGCTAATTATAAGTAAAAATATTAACAAAATCATCAAATTTAATTAACTAGATATTTTGTAATTTTCTAGGTTAGTTTTAAGTGTTAATTCAAATTAAACCTAGATCAACTTATGAAACATTTAAGCATACATACAATTTTCTCATGCAGATTAATATGATTAACGATAAATAATTATAATTAACCTTTTGACAAATTTTGAAGTGATGATCTTACATTTTGAAGTAGAGTATTATTATTTTGTTATATGTCTGATGTACATTCTATAAGGAACAATTTTGGAATAGAGATATACTAAGTGTTATTCTCAACACAATCGATTATCATTTTATTTTTCATTTGTCTTAAATGACCTAGTCAGGAAATCAAATACAGTAAATTTCACCAATGAATGAGTTATACCAAAATGATAAGGCAAAATCTCACAAACTTTGGTCAAAAGGAAAATCTCACCCAATTGATGAATATTTTCAAAAGACTATGCAAAATGACAAGGATTAATAATTTTAATATCTTTTAATTCCATGAACTAATTTTCATAACATTTCAAAACTTGTTTATTTGTTATTATCCCAAAACTTATGGATATTTTCAAAAGCCTA